ATCTCTTTGCCTCTGTCCTCAAGAAAAGTGAATGGTCCTTAGGTGGGGGCGGGAGGGCACAGGGCTGGACCACTAAGACTAGCTTACACCTTCCTCTCTCCCTTCCCAGTACAAAGCTGGGGCTTCATAGGAAACACAGTTCTGTCTGCATATGATTTATGGACATAATGGCTTCATTTTGGAAGAACTTTCTCTCCTTCCCATGCTCCCTCCTACCCCAGTTCAAATATCTAGTTTTCAGAGCCAATGGGTTTAGGCTGTGCTCTGCATGAGGTTAGGAACACAGAGGAAGAATGTGTGTGACAGAGCCCTGGCCAGTTGAGTAATGTTTACTCTGTTGGTGGCTGGGGCGCTCACTCGAGTTGGCATAGGTCCACCAACTGCAGGAACATTCCTGCATTATCACGAATAGGAGCTGGCTTCAAAATGAAATGTCAAGGGTGAAGACATCCCACCAGGTGTTGGGTACAGCGTATAGATCCCAGAAAAGGGAGCCCCCAGACTTCAATGCCAAAGGCCATATGAGGAACAAGCTGAGCCCATATTACCCACAAGTCCCCACTCTCCTCTCTCTCCTAATACAAGAGGAATTCCAGACATGATTTCCTGGTTGGCATTGCTCTTCCGCTCATTTTGTCTCCCAGCAAAGCCCAGGGCTTCTCTTACATTATTGTATTGATCTGCTTATCACCATTTTACAGGAGAAAAAAAAACTTAAAAAAGACCAAGGCTTAAAAAGTTGATCGATCCCAAAATCATAATAGAGCTAAAGGGGAAACAGACAAACAGAGTTCTAAATGTTTAGAGACTGAGGCTGTGTTCATTTCCAGAATGGAAATCTTTGCTATTTTTTGAAGCTCTTAGAGAGGTGGGCTACATAGCCAGGGATCTACAAGCTATAGGTGGGATCCCTGAACAGATCTTCTCTGGAGTCTCCTGTAAGGCAGTCATGACTGTCTCTGAATACACAAGGCCCAGCTGGTCCTGTATACACCAACACAGGCATCTAAGAATACAACAAGGAGCTAGGTTGCCCAAGAACCATTACAGGGTTGGTGGGGGGGGGGAATTGCACCATCAGTGACACCATCAGTTTTGAAATGGTAAACCTTCACTGAAACGTTTGCAGTTTTATGACTATTAGGTTTAAAGGAGAACAAGTACTGTTCAACAACAAATATGGCCTTTGAGCTTGAAAGGGTCCTGAAGTTTGCTGAAGGAAGCAGCTGTCAGGAGGGTAGCAGGTCATTATCATGAAGTGGTGGACATAGGATTGTCTGTGGTCAGGGGAAACTATGGTTCCCAATGGGCATGGATGTGGCCAGCACTTGATTGACCGATGTTCATGGGGTGTGTGTGCACACACGGGGCTGTTTATTATATTCCAAGTGGCCACATTCAGCTTTGTGCAAATTTCTGAATTCATCTGGTGCTTCTCAACTGTGAAATTTGTGTGACTTTCCAGTGATGCCCCAGCAATAGATCTGGAACACCATCAATACAGAACTGCCCCTACTTTCTCTTTCTGCTTGTTCTTTGATCCAGGGCATGGATCCTCATGCAGCTGAGATCTCCTTTCTTCGTCCTGTAAATAGGCACAATGCCAGGTGCCTGAGGAAGCCACAATGAGTACCACATCTCTTCCTTTGAGAGGGAGAGAAAAGTAAACACACAGGAGTACAGAGAGGCCAGTTCCTGATGTCGAATGTCTAGAGCATCAGTTTTGGGTCATGGACCCTTTGGGGACTGAATGACCCTTTTACAGGGATCATATATCAGATATCTTGCAAATGAGATATTTATATTACGATTCATAACAGTAGCAAAATTATAGTTATGGAGTAGCAATGAAAATGATTTTATGGTTGAGGACACCACAACATGAGGAACTGTATTAAAGGGTCACAACACTAGGAAGGTTGAGAACCGATGCTTTAGAACCTTGGAAACACAGAGGATGGGACCATTACATAATAGGGTGAAGGATGAACCTCTCCCCTGAGACACTACAGGAAATAGAACTGTCCGAACAGAGGGTACTTAGGCAAGGCACAGAGGCAGTGGCAGAGATCTGAGGTGACCTTATAGAGTGTGGTGAGGGATAATGTATTTCAGATACATTTCAGATAATAATTCAGAGTGCAGATGCAAGGACCCCATTATGCCAGTCACAGGTATCTGGGCTCCTTCAGAAAGCAGCAAGAGGTCATCAGAAGTTTCTGAGTAGAGATGCTAGAGAGGTAACTTGGTCCATGAAGTAATTGCCATGCAAGCATGGAGAACTGAGTTTGATCCCCAGTTACCTCACCTGACCCCATGCAAAAAGCTGAGCATGGAGATACAGGTTTGTAACCCCAATGCTGGGGAAGCAGAGACTTGCAGATTCCTGGGGCTTGCTGGCTGGCTATCACAGCACATCTGATGTGATCTAGACTAGTGAGGCACAGTCTTAAAAAAAAAAAAAAAAAAAAAGATAATACTAGAGGGGTACCTGAGGACAAATACTCAAGGTTACTCAAGGTTGTCCTCTGGCCTCCACTTACACGAGTACATGAATATGAAAAACATTCCAGAGTACAGCTGTGTGAAGAACCACATATATTCACTCTGCTTTTGACACTTCTAGCTAGCCTTGCTGAGTCAAAACCAGGTGATCTGTCTGTTTCGTAGGTTGTTAGGAATTCAGCAATAACCCACGGTCCATGATGCCCAGGGAACAGTGGCTTCCAGGACCCTGGGGAAGACTCTAGATTGTATTAAGATACCTTGGCTCTTGGTATCATAAGGTCCACAATGGTGACATGACCAATTAGTGACTTGAGCCAAGTAGTGAGTGGAGGGCATGTGACCTTGACCTGCCATAGCCATTTCTCCTATGGGTCTTCTGTGACACTTAACCTGGTATCTTCAGTAACTCAAGGTTAACCCAGAGGCTTTGTCATCTGTCTCCATCCATGTCAGAAATAGCGATGCTGCCTAAAGAAAAGATCACCTACTTCTTAATGAAGTTTCCCAGAACTTTAAGTGGTTAATAGGTGCTCAGTAAAGTTGTGGATAAAGACAGCTGAAAGTGTGTGTTTGGGGGGAGGGATACTTGGTGCAACAGTCATATGCCCAGCATGACCTGAGGACTTGCACATCTATTAATTTATTGTACTCTTTGTCAGGGATCTGAGGGGAGGACACTGTTAACAGTATGGGCACTGAAGCCCAGGGAAAGTGCATAACCTCCCCAGGTGACATGGCTATGGCATTGTGGAATCAGGACTTAAGCCCAGGTCACCTAGCTCTAGAGCCTCTACACTTTGCATTCCTCATTTGTTATTTTCGCTCTCTAGTAAGACCCATCTATTTCCGGTATGTGGCCTGTGGACAATTGCTTGATATCTGTTCATCCCTGCCCCTTCCCATGGAGGATAACTCCAGTGGCTGTCACATCTTTGAGAAGATCATCAGAGGGGGAAGGATACAGATGGACCCAGAGATGACAAGCCTCCTGTCCAACTCCCTCCATACTGCTCTGACAGTTCCCTCCCCATAGCATGCCATCTTCCAGCCTCTAGATAAGGAAGCTGGAGCTCACTCTGTAGAGAGATGGTAAACCTGTAATCAAAACAGGGATCCTCCATCTCCCAGCCAGAGATCTTAAAGGGGAAATCAGGAGACCCATCTGTGCTTAGCACAGTTGCTACAACACAACAAAGTTCTTTCAGGCAAGTTAAAGCCTATGAGCTGCAGCCACCTTGGGCTGTGCTGCCCAGCCTCTACTGAGAGGCTCTGGGCTCTTACCATGCCCCTTTGTGAAGACGTTTGCTTCCTGTAGATATCTGTAGTTAATTATTTTTAAATAATAATCGCGTGGCCTGTGGTAGGGGAGAAGCCTCCCTGTGACCCATATTCGATCATCAGAGGGCTGGCCCTTTTCCTTCAGCCAAATTAAATAGGCTAAGTCCAGGGACTGTTTGACTTGAGACCAAATCAATGATGGGGACAGGCTGGGAGGTGAGCACAGGCCTGACTCCCATCGTTATCGCTGCTCTCTTGGGAGCAGGGCATCTTGGGGAGGTAAATAGCTGATCAGAGAATCAAAACATGCAGATGAAATAGGAGTGAAGTCCAGATGCTTCAGAAGGAAGGGTCAGAAGAGCAGCAGCCAGGCCTCCTGCCAAGTTGCTTCCTGGACGATATGTCAATCAGTCTGCCAAGGCAGGAGCCGCTACATGCTGCTTGCTAATAGAACATTCCATCCGTGCTTAGAGCCTGACCTTAGGAGTCCCTAGAATTCAAGATTCTTTTCATCCATGTCCTGAGATCTATCTATCCTACTACCAGCTCACTACCTACTACCTGCTTAGCATCTTCAGTCCCAGAATGTTTGGCATCATGCTGGGAGCTGGAGAGAGGTTTCTCCAATCTTCAAACAGTCCCGGAGAGGAAGTGTCCTCTCTATTTCATGAGAGGAGGTAAGAGGTGCAGAGCCAGACAGGATTTGAACCTACATTGTCTGTTTATACACCTTAAAGCCTCCCTGCGTTCCCTTCTTGCTAGAAAACTTTCTTGTATTGATTGGGAATCTGCCTCTGCCTTCAGAGAGTCTTAGGCCTCCAGAAGGTTCAGCTCTCTTTCTCCTGCTTTCCAACCTTCCGTCCTCCAACAGAAGTTGACTGAATGACCATCAAGTGATAAAATACTGGCAATATAACAAAGAGCAAAACAAAGTAGATCAAAGTGTCCTAGCCTGGGCTGGAGAGATGGCTCGGCCATTACAGGCTTAGGCTCACAACAAAAAAGACAAACCATCCTACTTTCAGAGATCTTATATTCTACAGTTAAATTTTCCTCACCCTAGAGGAAAATAGCTGGGAGTTCTTGTGATTTGTCGGGAGGAGAAAGCCATTTTGTTTTCTTGCCACCCACCATTGAAAACAAGAGGCACTGAGTCAGTGTCCAGGGGCCCTGGTGACACTAATGTTTCCTATTGGGTTCATGTTGTTTTTCAGGAGTGCGCTACAGCCAGCAGGGAAACAATGAGGTCACTTCCTCTTCAACAATCAGTCACCATGGCAACAGTGCCATGGTAACCAGCCAATTGGTTTTACAGCAAGTCTCCCCAGGCAGCCTGGACCCAGGCCACAGTGTCCTCTCACCTGATGGTAAAATGGTGAGTACACCTGGGCCATTGTAGCTCTGGAGCCGATAAGATAAGAGGCAAAACAAATACAACTTCTCACAAGGCCTGCCTCAAACAATGAACCATTGTAGCCCAACAGGGGAAAATGGGGCCTGTCCAGAGCAAGAACGGAAAGGTAGACTGGTGACCCGGCCTTTGGCGGGTAGAAGAGGTGTTCAGTTTGAACCCAGCCAATAAATCTGACAGAGCTCTGCTCTCATTTTATTGATTGAATGCCTCATAAAGGAGCGAGCCGGGTGGGACACTGTTTGTTTTGGGGCTGCCAATGACATGTGGGTTGATAAAATGTTCATTCATCCTTCCCTCCAAGGCCTCCAAAACCAGATTTTTTTTTAAACCCAGAGAGCACCTCACTTTGAAGCAAGCCCCCAGACTCCTTTCCCAACTCCTTTGGTGCTGAGGAGGACAGTATCAGGTGGTAGTGGCTGACGGGAGGAGTTTCCTGAACGGAGACGAAGCTCATACTGACAGGTGCAGTGGAGTAGCACCTGGAGTGAGAAACAATGACCCCAGACCTGCTCTCAAATCTCAGCTCTGGCACTTCACAGTGGTGCAGCCCTGGGCAAATTACAGAACTGCTTTGGTTCTCTTTTCCTCATCTATAAAATGGGGGTAACAGCAATAACGTTGTGGAGGATGTGTGCTACCGCGTAGGAAAACACTCAACATCGTAAATGTTTCATGAATGGCAGTGCTGTTAATTCAGCATCAAGTCCATTTTCACTGATGTTTTCTCTACCTCTAACCACAGCCCCACACCAGGATGAACCCTATCCTCCTGCTCAGTAAGTCTGACTTGAATTTCCAAGGTTCTAATTCTTCTTTAAAAAAAAATTTTTTTTTTATTTTATTGAATTTGTTGTTTGACAACTTCATACATGTATATAGTGTATTTTGATTCCTGTCACCCCCTACCCTCTCTGAACCCCCCTTTATGCCCCGCCACCACCATACTAGACCCATTCTCCAGTTCATGTGTTTGGCAATACAAGGACACAGGAGAGGGCTTTGGAGACACGGGAGTATTACGACACCAACCGTGAGAATAGGAAATGGAAAACTTTATTCTCTGGGTCATGCTCTGTTTCATGGGAGGGAGGAGCTAGGGTTCCTGACTTCCACGTTGAAGGTGGAGCTGCACATATTCCCGAAAGGTGTCTGCTCCCCATCCCCCACTGGTGGCCAGTGGGGGCTGGGGGATGGCAGGGAGCACTTGCCATTTTAGTCCTTGGTGTGTGTGTGCTGTGTAGGCAACACAGGAGCAGTGAGTCACAGCTGACCAAGACTCCAGTTCTGTGGAAGAAAAACAACATGTAGGTCTTGGGGAATGGGGTGGGCTGGTCTGGACAACTCCAGTTTCAGGAGACCTGAGCTGGCCTCTAGTGGGAGTCTTTGTAAACAAATAATGGGGCAATCTAGTGGAAAGATTTCTCAGCTCTCTTGTGTTCTTCCCTACCCCCTAAGAGAGACCCTTCCTCCCTGCCAACAATTGTGCCCACTACCTTGCAAGAGGCATATATGTCTTTATGGTTTCTTGTTTCCTTTAGTGTTTTTTAACTTTTAATTTTACTTTATGTGAATGGGTATTCTGCCTATACATGTGTCTGTGTACCGTGTGTGTTGTACCCCCTGGGACTTGAGTTACAGATAGGTGTGAGCCGCCATGTGGTTGCTGGGAATCAAACCCAGGTCTCCCGGAAGAGTAGCCAGTGCTCTTAACCCCTGAGCCATCTCTCCAGACCCCGATCTTTATGATCGCTTAACAGTCATGTAAAAACACAAACAAGTTAGGGTTAAAGCATTACACAGGCTTCCCTGGAAGAAGTGTTTTGTAGAAGAGGTCTTTATTTCTCGGTAGACTAAGAACTCCTAGGTGGGGCTGGAGAGGTGATTCCTGGGTAAGAAAACCACCTGTTCCTTGTTCTTTCAGAGTACCAGAGTTTAATTCCTAGCAGCCACACGATGGCTCACAACTGTCTATAACCCCAGTTCTATGGGATTTGACACCATCTTCTAGCCTCCATGGGCACTAAGCACTCATGTGATTAATGGACATTCATATAGGCAAAACATTCACACACGGATGATGATGATGATAATCACAATTATAATCATAAATCCCAGGTTCTGGGTTGGGAATATCTCAGCGGTAGAGGTGCTTTGCCTAGAAGAATGAGACCCCAAGCACTGAAAAAGTAAAATAAAATACAATTCCAAGTCTTTATTTCTTACTGCTTGAAGGTCCCTGGAGTCTGTCTTTGGGCTCCCTTGCACTTCTTTAAGCCACAAGCTACGTTGCTCAGGTCCAGACTGCTCCATATACAGCCTGTAGACACGCTCTTGTGCTTTTCCCAGCATTGCTCTCACTGGGCAACGTGCTATCAGATTGATGATTGACCAAGACCGCACACCTCGATGTTAACAAGTATCTGGAAGTGTGTTTGCAGGGACTCACTTTTCTCCAACACCTTGGTTCCGACATTACGTCATTATTGCCAGGTGCCCAAATTCAGGAGTCTATTATTCTCTGTTAATGTATAACGAGTGCATCCCTGTCTGTGTTCCACCAACACGAGAATGGAATATGGCTTAAAAAGAATATGATGGGGCTGGAGAGATGGCTTAGAGGGTAACACACTTGCTGCATAAGCATAAGGACCTGGGTATGGATCCCCAGGACCCCCATAAAACTGGACACAGTAGGACAAGAGGCAGATGGATGAGGGGACAAGAGAGTCCCTGAAAGCGTGCAGGTCAACTAATCTAGTTAGCCTGGCATTAGGATGGCAAGCATGAGGAGAGCCTGTCTCAAACAAGGTAGAAGGCAAACCAACATCTGGAGTTGTCTGTCACCTGAACACACACATTATGCTGTGGAGTGTGTGCTTGAAGTTACACCAAGGGGCACCACACACACGCGCGGGCGCGTGCACACACACACACACACACAGAGAGAGAGAGAGAGAGAGAGAGAGAGAGGGAGGGAGAGAGAGAGAGAGAGAGGGAGAGAGAGAGAGAGAGAGAGAGAATTACAGGAACATGGACAAGGAATCCAAATGGGCAGTCTTGGTTGGCTCTGACATGTACCAACAATAGAGTCAAAGAATTGCATAGCTTCAGTATCTTCAATTACTAAATTGGAGGATTAATATTGTGTGATAGAGTTGGTGTGAAGATTGCTTATAGCTCTGTTTGGGAGTAATGTCCCACCCCATGCCAAAATAGCATAGCTAATTAGGCTGTAATTCATGTTTGCTGATTTTTTTTTCCAACTCATGCAATACTTTGGCAGTATTAAATCAGACCTTGGAGGCAGATCACCTGCATTCAGCTATGGTGCTACCAACTGAAACCTTTCTTTCTTTGGGGGGGAGGGGAAACTTTAGAGACATTTCTTAAACTCTCTAAATTTTACATTCTTTCTCTGCAAGATAGGGTAATAGCCCTAACCTCACAAGTTATAGGTACATAAATAAATTACCATATCAAAGATATTATATAGTCCAGACTCTGAAAATGGTTGTGTTAAGGGCCATCATGCTATCTTTGGCAACTCTCTGGCTTTCATCCATTCTGGAAGCAAGTAGAAAGTAATGGCTACTTCTTAAAGTGGGAAATCACTTGACCAAGGTTGCCAAGAACAGTAAGTGGATGACATTGAAAATCTGGCAAAATTTAACTTGAACTTGGGCTCCCTTGCTTACTGTCCAGTGACATACAATTCATCTGTGTCTCTTCTAAGGGTCAGTTTCTTAATATGTAACCCAGGAACATAAAGCTTGCCCTGTTTGTGTCATTATGGATGGAGGACTTCTGGGAAAGTAGCTTACAAATAGAAAAGCTATACATAATCATTTTTTATCACTGACACCCACATTTCTGTGGCACCATCAAACTGAAGTGTTGGGGCAGGATTTGGTCTGAGGGCAGGTCACAGATTTTTTTTTTTCTTTTTAATGACTCTGACACTTTGAAAAACAAGTCCAGCAAACAGGCTGGTTCTCTCTTGTTTGATGTGGTCAAAATTCCTTATTGGTCATGTGACCTCTAACTCATTTCTTGATGTTCATTTTAAAAACACAAACAAACCTATTCAAGATCCCACCCACCCTCCCTTCCTCCTTTTTTCAAGTTAACCTTGAAAGCATGGGGTTGACCAGAAGGACAGGGTGGGAGCTATCATCTTTCTAGGTGCTAGTGTGAGACGGAGAATCTGATGGACTCTAGGGAACAGAAAGTTGTTAATAAGGGAGCTGGGTGTGTGATGGAACCGCTTCAGGTTCCTAGTGCTCTCAACAATTCCTGTGTCTGCTTAGGGGAGAGATGGTTTTTTCCTAAGAAAAAATTAGAACCAAGTGATGGTGGTTCATACCTTTAATCCCAGCACTCAAGAGGTAAAGGCAGTCAGCTCTGTGAGTTGGAGGACAACCAGGGCTACCCAGGAAAACATCATCTTGAAAAACCAAAAGTTAGAAATTATTTTCAAAACTGTGAACAGTAAAGTATTATGAAAAATTATGTGTATAAAACTGACTTTTATGTGTGATTGTAACTAGTAACAGGACATTAGAAGTATTTTTTGATTAATATTTGAATTAAAACAACACATTTTTACAGTGGTTTTTATTTAGTACTGCTGAGAAAGTTCCAGTCAGTAGGCCTATAGACACATTTGTCAAAGCAAGAACAAGCAAGCCCCTGGCAGGATTTGATGCTTGTTATATAATGATACACCTAGAAAGAGGAAAAACAGGAAAAGATATCAATAGGGACAAATAAAAGAATTAAATATAGCAGTCATGTGCAAATACATATGCAAAAACTGGTCACTTTCATCTATGAATCTGCCATTAAAATGAGATGGTGAAAGACAATGGAGACTAGCTTGGCTGTCATTAGTAGTATCAGCATTTTGACTAAAGATGGAGAAAGAGGAGGAAGGAGGGGAACAATTTTAAAGTATGGTGAAGATTTGGGGGGGGGAGAAAAATCTTAACCCCCTCCCCACTCTTAGTAATTAATTAATGTGGGGAAAAGCAGATGATTTTCCTATAAAATAGGTTAAAAACTGGATCCTAGGTCAGACTGACCTTGACTTGAAGAACAGGGGTACATTTCCTAGCTTCAGGATCTCAGACAGGATGCATATCTACTCTTGGTCTCAGTTTTTCATCTGGGAAATGGGTGTGTCAGAACTCTTGGGATGCAGTGAGCTGATGCAGTGAGGGCTCGGGGTGTACTCTGTACCCCTTCCTGGTTCCTAGTCTATCCTCACTGGGGAGTCCTAGGGAATTGCTTCAGTTTTATTTTTAGCAGTCGCCTATCTCTAACATCGATAACATAAAAGGCAGGATATCAGGATGGAGGGCACCTGAAGAGTGAGCAAGTGACAGTCATGTAACACACAAACAGAAGAACTTCTGAAGCAAGCTGGCAACTCCAAGAATGGACAGATACAATCAGCAGTGAGGACAGAGTCCTGACTACCACTACTTTCCCCTCCCGGTCTGGAGTCCACCCCACTGTGGAACTTTTGTTGTTATGTGAATGGACAAGTTACTAAGTTGTAGCATTCTGGACCCGCCCTTCATGGTTTAACCCCACTCACACGGCTCTTCTCTCTCCTTTCCAGCAAATTACTGTCTCAGGAGGAGGACTTCCCCCCGTCAGCACCTTGACGAATATCCACAGCCTCTCCCACCACAATCCCCAGCAATCTCAGAACCTCATCATGACCCCCTTGTCTGGAGTCATGGCCATTGCACAGAGTAAGTTCCACTCTTGGTCAGTAAACCTGGGAGCAGGGAGGAATATGAAAAGCAAATCAACATGGCAGGAATAGGCACAAAATGGCCCATGTAAGACATTCCCCCCAGGCCCTAGAAGCTTTTCAGAGTAGGGTGGCTGAGATAGGGCATCACTCTGGAGCTGGCCTTGAACTTGCAGCCTTTGCCTCATGGCTGGGATCACAGATATGCACAGTTGTTCTCAGCACACTTGTGGATTCAATTTTAGTTCTTTGGCTCTTTCTCCTCTACAATGTCTATCGTACATTTATCCTACAAGAGATATTTTCCTAATGGCTCTGAATCCATGTCACAATTTACTCAGGCACAATTTAGTTATGCAGCCAGTTCACATTACTAACCTTTCTGGGATTGGATTTCCTTGTCTATAAAATGAATTGTTAGCGTTATTCAGTGATAAGGGATATAGACATGCTTGTAAATCTAAAAAGCAAGACCTCTCATAACTGTGGCTTATAAGCTTGTTTCCTGTTCATTCCTATCCCTGTGTATTCTCTAGGAAGTCCTTGGGGTTGGTGAGGATGGAACAAGGTTTTGATGGGGTTCCGAAGAAGTCCTTTCATATGGTAGACAAGTCCTGTAAAAATGCAGAGGGCCCAGAGAGGGCCACTGACCTAGCATCTTTGAGCTTTCCAGCTTTGAAAGAGAAGTAGGTTGTTTAACACATACCTGAAGATGGGGGTGGATCAGGTCCATCTCGCTCAAGCAAGCTCTTGTTCTGTAGCCAACCTTGCCCCATCAGACGGGGGCCCTTGCTGGCTGTGGGAAGGCAGGGTGTAAAACAGAGGGTTTAGACATTTTTCAGCTTCACTGTCACCAAATATCTGAGGGTTTGGATGTTTCCCTCCTCACGGTGACCACTCGGGCAGTCATTGTGTCTCAGAACCATCTTTGTGACCTGGGGAGATCCTCCTCAGAGGGATCCAGAGGTACCTAAAGGTGGTGTGTCAGCCATAATTTTTCAACTTTGTGCTGCCTGTACGTGGTTCTCTTGGCATCCTGGTGTCCAGGGCCCCATGTTGCTTGTTTCTTTGTCTTGTTCCTGCATTTGCTTCCCTCCCCTCCCATCGTTTAAGAACTGGGATCACATAAGAGAATGAACCCCTCCTTTGAGGGCAGAACAGGGCAGGAGCCATTGAAAGCACATGAATTTATTGAATGACTGTGTAGCTCTCACCCTGTCCTTAGCTGTTGGGATGGAAGCACACTCTGCATTTACGTTTGCAGAAGGGAAATGGGAAAAAGGAGATCTTTTGGAGATTTCCCAAGTTAAAAATTACTTCAAGTTCACTTCCATTTTACTGGCCCTTCTGGTGCACGGACTACAGCAGCCAAACTAATTCCAGGACTTGGATAAAGAATGAGATGCCTTAAAGTAGCTTGCTTACCGTCCTGCAAGTTTGACCTTTACATGTTCATGCGCACACACATGTACACACACCATGAAAAACAAAGGCCTATGGGTAAGATATAGATTTCCTTATTTCTTCAAACAAAGTAATGCACAAATTGCCCCCACTTTCTTTTTCCCCACACCAAGCTAAGACATCCATTCAGCTGTACCAGTTTAGGTGCTGTCTGAGCTAAAGCTTTCCCTAGGGCCATTCTGTATTTTCCACGTTTGTTCTTCCTATCATGTGCACCCAGGCATCTCAGCCTCCTCAGGGTGTCTCCTGCATGTGGACAGGGTACACACTGACCTTAGGCACAGGTGCGCATGTGCACTGGGGTAGACAGAGCATAAAGAAGGGTGAGGATTGCCAGGAAGTTTGGCTGTGACCTAGTACCCTCCTCTAAGGGAGAGTCAGAGAGAGGTCTCTTGTTTTCTCGTGTGTACGGCCCCCATCCTCAGCACTGCAGGACTCTGGACAAGTGACTTGTCACTGCCAAATGCTCATTATCTTTGCTTCTTCTGGATAAAAAGGCCACAAGTCACACACCCTGGGGGAGCTAGGATGACATCAGAGGTTCTCACTGGGATCTCAGACTGTCGAAAATGAGATTCCTGGGCCCCACCTCTGCAGGCTTTGACTCACTGAGTCTTGGGCGGGGCTGGAGAATGTATATTTCTTAAAGAGGTCCCCTGGGTGGCTCTAATGCTCAGGTGTGTTTCCGAACTGTGCCTTCCAGTGTCATCCAGTCTAGATGGGTTACTATTCTTTCCTGGGCAGAGACTTCCCTATGAGAGTAGTGGGCATAGGTCCTGGATAAACAGAAAATTCATAGGGTTTCCTTGGAGCCAGAGGCCATCAAGAAGAAGAGGGAAATTGAAATAGAGCATCAGGGTGTCAGGTGAGGTACACACTTGGGGAGAAGCTGGGTCCCCCATGGAGGTAATATTCTAGTGACATTCTGAGGATGATCAGAAGACACACACACACACACACACACACACACACACACACCAGTCAAGTCCCACCCAGGGGAGCCAGGAAGAAGGTTATCTGTTCTTCCTTTCTGTTCAAGGGTCTCACCTTTTAACTTTCAGATAACAGTATCTGCTAGAGCTCCAAGTGGGCAATTGTTAAGACTGTGCTGTCTCCCTGGAGGACTTCCCACAATCCCGTTTAAGCTTTGGAAGTGCTCTCCCTTTCAGGAAGGCTCTCCAGACCTCCCCTCTGCAATAGGCCTTTTCCTGGGTCCTCCTCTTCGTTACATCCCCCCCCCCACAAAGCAAGGACGAGGGAATATTGGCAGCTCCAGAAGAGAGACTGGGGGATCTTCTCTGTTCTTCCTCTGGCTTCCACTTTGATCCTGTCTCATCTTCCCCAGGGTCATGCCAGCAACTAGATTATGGATACAAGGAAACCCAGGCCTTGCAATAGTGGCTGGGGTTCAAAAGAGATCTTGGGATAAAGGCCTGATGCCAAAGCACAGAGGTTCCCCATGTCCTCAGAACAGAAAGAAGGCCAGACCTACTGTTACATCTTTAACTTACTGCTTCCTCCTCCTACAACCTAGTTCTGCAGATACCAAAAACCCTAGCATATATCCACTTCACAGACGGGTTGGATTCTTGTGTTTTCTTCCCCTCTCTGTTACTGACAATAGAGTCTGTATGACCTCTTCCAAGGGCCTTGCGGGCTCTCCTGTGAATCCTCAGACCTCTTCCTTCTAGGACTGTGGAAGAAGGTTTGATTTCCTTTGACTTGAGGTAATGGGGGTGGAGGAGGGGACAGTGGGAAAGGGGACATGCAGGACAGAGGGGGCTGCTGCATACTGCTGCCCTCTCCTGGAAAGACAGATCTGGGTAACAAGCTATACCCTAAAGTGGACACCCTTAACTATGCCAGAGGACACCAGGGCAGGTGTCTCACAGTCCAGCATGCATGGAGCCTGCAAACAGATTCAGCTTTCCCAGGGGCTCTGGTGCCTCCAAAGGAGCTGAATTTGGGAGGTCATTGGATGATTTGGAGAGACTCTCAGGCTTCAGAAAATTTTCTCTCTAGGTCTTCTCAGTTCCCTTGGTTTTGTAAAGTAATCCTCCATGCAGTCTCTTCCATAACAGGCTCAGCCCAGTGACATATACACCGAGCATCGACTCCCTCTATGATGGATGCTGCCCTTGTCACATCTGTTCATCCCTGGTACCACCCTGACTCTTCTCTCTTGCTCCCACAGGCCTCAACACCTCCCAAGCCCAGAGTGTTCCTGTCATCAACAGTGTGGCCAGCAGCCTGGCAGCCCTCCAGCCTGTCCAGTTCTCCCAACAGCTACACAGTCCACACCAGCAGCCCCTTATGCAGCAGAGCCCAGGCAGCCACATGGCCCAGCAGCCCTTCATGGCTGCGGTAACTCAGCTACAGAGCTCCCACAGTAAGGACACACACGTGCCAGGGTTGGAAGTTTCTTGGAAGAGTACTGGCTTGGTTTCCCCAATCTATTAGCAACCAAGGCGATGATTTCTCAAGCTCAGCTCTTGGGATATTGTTCTTGCCTTTCTGTCCTCTTCTCTGGCCCCAAGGCTCCAAAGGAGGAAGTTTGCAGTGGAAAATGCAGGCCTTCCGTCCAAGGGGAGCTGGTAAAGCATGTGTAACACACAGCATCCCAGCCCCTTGAGAATCTCACCAATCGGTCACAGCATGTTCCCTCAGTACCATCACCTTTGCAGCCAGCCCCAGATGTCAGACTTGGCATGCAGATTGTGATCTGTTTGCCTCTCTGAAACAGATGGAATTTTCTGGCATCTTAAGTGCCCACAGTCTACACACCCTGGGAATCTCTAATCGAAAACCATGAAACTTGGATGGAGATATAGCTTGGTGATAGAGCACTTGCCCAACAGTCAGGAGGCCCCCAGTTCAATTCCTGACACTGAGGACAAAACACACAAGGGCTAGAGGAATACCACAGTCAGTAAAGCACTTGTTATGCGAGCATGAGAATCTAAGTTTGGGCCTCCAGAACCCATGCCAAAAATCTGGGTGGGGTGACATGTGCCTATAATCCCAGCTCTAGGGAGTGGGTACAGGTAGATCCCTGGGGCTCACTAGCCAATAGCTTAGCACACTTGTTGAGTTCAGGCCAGTGAAAGATCCTGTCTCAAAAAACAACACAGATCATACCAGAGGAGCAATAACTGAGATCACCCTCTGACCTACATATACATGCATGCAGGCAGGCACACATAACCTTACATACATGTGCACCCACACATGCATGAACATATACACAACATAAAAACCAAACAAAGCCATCAACCGACATGGAAAATATCACTTGTCCTCTACCGAGTCAAGGAGCACCAGAGTCTCTGCCCCTTGCACAGAGGGTCCCCACATTCGACTTTTATGCCTTCCTATTCTTGCCTCACATCCTGACCTCAGGCCTCCACTATTCTGGCCAAGCCTGGCTATAGCCTTAATTTTCAAGTTAAGAAATTCTAGAAGGGGGAAAGGGGGATGGATGTCTTGCCTACTTCAGGAAGTATCTAGTCTAGACTAGTTTTAAACAGCCATGTAGCCACCAGCTACTAGGAGTCTCATTTTCTCCATGCATAAAACGGGAATAGTTTGCTTATGGAGTAATTATGAACATGACATAAAAATATGAGTGATCTGCCTTTCATAAGCCTAAAGCGTTGCAGAAATGCAAGTGTTGTTTACTAAGTCACTCTTAAGAGGCAAGCAGGGCAAAGGGAATTGGAGCCCTTCCTCCAGTTGCCGCAGACAAACAACAGGTCTGAGGTTGAACTGCCCGGTTCAGCCTTCTCTCCTCAGGGCTCAGTCCTGATTCAGGCCTGCAGGGCTGGTTTCTAAACAGCCCCTCACATTCCAGTCACATATCTTTGGCTTTTAAAACTCTGCCACAGCCTGCAGCAGAGTCTGGGACCCACATGTGCCTCACCTCATTCCTCTAGAATCTAGGTCCCGTATCACCTCACAGGCCTAGGGTAGGGGACAGAATCACAGTGGTCACCATGACCTGTGGGGTTGCTCAGACCCAGTAGACCTGACTAGCCATGAGGAGAGAGCCCAGGGGGCTAAACCAGGAAATAACCAGCAGCCAGTGACCTTCACCTCCTTTTCATACTGGAGGCCTCTTGGTAGGGTCCATGTTTTGGGAACGTGCTGGTCCCTCCCTCGTGGCCAAGCATCCACATGCTTTCATTAGCTAGTCAGGTGACCTAGGATCTACACGATTCTTATGGATAGCTAACATGAGTCACAAGGTTCCTGATGTGGTAGGCAAGTACTAAAACAACCAAATATTGAGTCACATGCCCCTGGAGGTCTTTTTGAGTCAAGTCTCCTTTTGTTTATCCTTCATATTTCTGTGACATCCTAAGGCTTTGATATCATTGTAGTGAAACTGGAATAGCCCAGAATTATATAGTTAATTATACATGCATCAATTACTATTGTTAATCAGTCTATAACTCTGAGGGGAAACATGGAATTTATTTGAATTATGGCATGAACAGTAAGCACACACCTGAGCACATGTGTCATGTTGGAGCAAGTGTCCTCCATATGCACAAGGCCACTTGCTGATACTTAGGCTCCTAATATTTTTACCGAAAGTCAGAGAAATAGAAGTATGCACAGGTATATATTTAGTCAAAGCAGTTTAAATATGATATTTTCCTTCAATAGATGCCTTCCTTATTTTACCAGGGAGGCCAAGATTAAGTACCTTGATTAAAGAATCTGGCGGTATTGTGACTGTGCGCATATATTGAGTTTGTCTTCTCTTTGTCTCTCCAGTGTATTCACATAAACAAGAACCCCCTCAGTATTCCCACACCTCCCGATTTCCATCTGCGATGGTGGTCACAGATACCAGTAGCATCAATACCCTTACCAGCATGTCTTCAAGTAAACAGGTAATGCCAACCGGAGGGGCCAGAAGTATTAAATGCAGACTTTGGATGGGTCACTGGAGTCTGGATGGCACAGCACGGTCAGACACTGGAATTGAACTTTCCTGACTGGGATGGTTGATGGTCCATGGAAAGGGTTTTTCCAGGCTAGGATGGGAAGGTCAGGACATCTGTTGTATTGCCAGCTTTGCAAAGGTGGTCAGTTGGGAAAGAGAAAGGTGAAGCAGGGGTCTTGCGACTGATTCTATTGGTCCAGGACCCATACCACCCCCAGGCACAATAAGACCGACCAACCCTTTGGGGACTTCCCAGTAGGCAGTGTGACTTTTTCAGAAGTCTGTGCCCATTTGATGGTTTATTAAGAAACTTAAATTTAACTTCCTGGTACACACAAAAGTGGGGGGGATCCAGCAGCTTAGTCACTGCCTCAGAGGATGAGTAATTAATTCCCTCCTCCCAAAGAGGTGATGGAGTAATAAAGACAACCAGCTAACAGAGAGGGCTGTAGCTCAGACAGCCAGACAGGCCACTGAGAACTAGAAAACAGGACAAGATGTCTGAACACAGTTGTGGATTCCAGAGTAACACAATAAGACCTTTCAGCAGCCAGGGTCTGTGTACTGTGGGAACTGTTTGGCCTCTATCGATTGCTAGATAAGGAGACTACAACCTTGAACTTCATGTCAGAAGCACTCATCAAGGTTTGATCTTGTTGATTGTCTCCCCTCCCCCCCCCAACCTCCCCCCACCCTTGAGCCCTGGAAGTCACACCTCACCCACTTCTCTGAGCTTCTGATCAGATTCTTTTATGGGCTCAGGAGTCTTGACTCCTTTCTTGACTCATCTTCTTTTGGTCCTAGAACAGTGGTTCTCAAACTGTGGGTCATGATCCCTTTGGGGTTGAATGACCTCTCACAGTGGTCGAAAATCAGACATCCTGCATCTCAGATATTTACCTTACAGTAGCAAAATTACAGTTACGAAGTAGTAATGAAAAAATTTTATGGTCGGGGTCAGCACGGCGTGAGGAACTGTAATAAAGGGTCACAGCAGTAGGAAGGTTGGGGACCACTGCCTTAGAGTGAAGTATGGCAGCTTCTGCTGCTTTATTTGAGCCTTCATTTCTTCACCTTGAAAATAAGAGCCGTACCTTCTACTTGCTTCAAGGATTTGGAGAGGACCTGTATATTAAGTGCCTGATGTATCTTGAACGCTAAACACATAGCTTGGGTTGCTGGGCTCCAAAATTGGAGGTAGAAGGAGAGGTGTGTGGGACCCACTCTACCACTCTTCCCTCACCCACTAGAAGATTAACAGACAACCCTCCATTACCCTGCCCTTCGACTCCTGACTCCCGTGCCTTTTCCCACTCGTTGGAACCATCAGAGAAAACATTTATCTGTGCTCACCAATCTTAGTCAGGGGGGCAGCCAGGCGCAGCAGCCCTCCTTGGGAATACCTTCCTCTTTTAAAGGTTTATCAATCCATCTACCGCTTGGGCAGCCCTAGACAGGGTGGTGATTAACTATCCCTGTCTTTCCCACATTGACTTTGATGCTTGCTTGTTGAAATGAGTCCTCTGGATTCAGGAAATAGTCTCTTAACCCGCTTCAAGAAGCTCCCAAAGATGCTGCTGTCTGCCCCCACGTGGCTTCTGCCTCCACTGGTCAGAGTGGCTAGTCAACCTTGAAGCTGCATAAGCAGCTTTCTTGACCTGTTATGAAGTTGTCTTTATATTCCAGGATATCTCATAGGTGACCAGACCCTCATCTCTGCAACATCGCAGATGTTTATTATACTAATAAGAACTATTTAAAAAATACTCAGGTGGGCATGATGGTACATGCTTGTAATAGCAGAACACAGGAGGCTGAGGCCAGAGGACCATTGTCTCCAAAGAAAAAAGAATTGGCTCTGTAGTGTAAACCTCTGTCTGGTGAACATTGTCTCACCATTTTCATTCCGCTGCAGTCTTCTAAATTCAAAGACGTAAACTGAAACCCAGACTGGAAAGTGACCTACCCAAGGTCATGCAGATGAACTCAGCCCAGACGTCAGTCAGTCCTTGACTCCAATCCTGGACTCTTTCCATTTAAACACCCATCCTCTCTCTTGAAAATGCCCATGGTAATCATCGATGCTTTTGTTGTTGTAAGTGGTTAGGAACTTGAGTAAAAATTAAACATCATGCTAAGTTCCAAACAGAAGACTTCCTTCAAATCAAAGCAGAAGGAAGAATGGAAAAGGGTAGACTGGAGCAAAGATGGTCGACGCATTCCCTGTTCCGAGGCACCAGGAACATGAGCAGCTTTTGTTCTTTCTTCGTTTTAAATTGTTCTCCACGAGGAGACAGTGGTCTCACAAAGAAATGCTGTCAGAGAAGGAATATAGGAGAGAGATGGTTTCAAAACCATTGCTAGGTGTTAGGCCATGTGAGACATGGGAGAGAATGGGTCCTTGGTCAAATATGTTCCAGGAACTGCTAGATTAAACAGAGCCGGCTGAAAAGGGCTTCTCACGTGTGCTGATATGTGTGTGCCATGCCTGGGCTATTTTATAGGCATTGTATAGTGGTAGGAAAAGCCAGGACACCTGAATTAATTCTGACTCCATCAGTTCCTGCTGTGTGAGCTAGGGTTGTTTTCTCCACACTAAGACTGCTTTATAAATGGGGAAACCCTACCCTGTCTCACAAGTGGCCAACAGGGTGCCAGGGGCATAGTCAGGTGAAAAGGAAAGCTCCCTCTACATTCCTTCTTCTGTCTGTGCATTTATGAAGCCATTGTCACTCCTGCCTTCTTCAGCAACCACTTCAGTGTTTGGTCTACATGTGGTCATTGGAGCCCCTGGCAGCAACATGTCTGAAGATTATGGTCATCTCTCCTGAAGGCTCATAATCTTGGGTCTAGGCTCTAGATAAGTATTCCCCTTGTTGCTAACAGACAGGTGTGCTCTCTCTCTCTCTCTCTCTCTCTCTCTCTCTCTCTCTCTCTCTCTCTCTCTCTCCCTAGCCCCCCCAAAAAAAGTGGTTAAGGAGCCACCATAGTACCCAAACCTTTTGCGTTCTGCCAAATGCTTGGGCCATTTGTGAATATTCAGTGAGTGGATGGATGGATGGGTGGGTGGGTGATGAATAGATAAATGAGGGAATACTTTTTAGTACCTCCAATTTCCAACAAACTGCTGTTCTACTATGCATTATCTGGCTAACCCTCCTACTCCTTGTGCTAAGTAGATATTTTTATGCAGAAAACTAAAGCTCAAAGATGAAGAGGGATATGAATAATTGCACACAATTATAAACTCCACAGCACTCACCTCCCAAGATCTTTCTTACTTGTTTGTTTTAGATGATGGTTTGGGTGCTTTGGGTAGCCTCTGAACCAATTGCTGTTTTCCTGGAAGTTGGGAGAAAGGAAACTTATGTGTTAGCAGGAAAGGAACAGTGCTTGGGAACCTAGATCCAAGAGGAAGAATCTTTGGCTGGCTTAGAACTCAGTGTATGAACGAGTCTGGCATCGTTTTGCAGTGATCTTCCTTCTTCTGCCTCCCAAGTGCTATTTACAGGCTTCTGATAGCTATGCATGCTTAAGCACCATGATAATGATGCAGGGTTGGGCATATATAAGGAAGCTAAATCCAGAGTGTAGACTTGAAGCTGTCTGACTCCAGCACTTACTGTACAGGATTCTCCAGGATGGAGTTTCGGAATCCTTGGCTGCCAAGCATCTTCCTGTAGCTCCTGCCATCTGTCCTTTCTGAAGAATTTGTCTCTTTCCCCTTCAGCTCTTGGGAATTGTGTGTTATGTCCTGAGACATTTGTGTCTGAGCTCCTGTGTAGCAGAGACTATACCAAGCAATGGCTTCAGTCACAAGTAGGGTCCCTAGTTTATGGAGGGGTCAAGAAATGCCCTTAGAGGTGCTGGCAAGAGAAGGTGGGATGCTTCATTGTGAGTCCTTTACAGCTGTCCCTTCTCATCAAGCCTTCTTCATTGTTGGGATGAGGGAAGCAAGAAAGTCTGATGGCTAGGAGTGCTAAGCCTGTGAGTTGGCCAGATCCAGATTCAAAATTCTACCACCTTCTACTCATGCCCTCAGGGAATATGTCGAGCCTCAGTTTCCTTCTATATACAATGACATCTCTTTCACGGAATTATTGTAAGGACTGACTGCAAGAAGACCCCAGTAGAATGTATCCCTCTGTGTTTGACCCACGGGAACATCAAGTCCATGAAAGCTGGGTCACATCTGGTTTCTGCTGCTAGTGACCCCGAGTGTCTCCCAAGTATGAGAAAGAGGTTTGTAAATGACCAAGAACATTCACTTCCCCCATAGTCTCACTCAGATTTTTTTTTTATAAATATCTATTTTTGTTTGTGCATGTTAGTATATAGTGCCCAAGGAGGCCAGAAAGAAATGTTGAGTTCCCTGGGACTAGAGATATAGGTGGTTATGAGTGCCGTATGGGTGCTGGGAACTGAACTGCAGTCCTTGGGTAAGAGCAGCAAGTGGTTTTAACCTGTGAGCTATCTCTCTAGCCCCTATCTGATGATCTTATAGTGTGCAAGGTTTGCCGTTCTAAGTCCCTATGCATTTTATTTATAGTCCATGTAGATTGTAGTTCCCACACCTCTAAAATTGTAAATATAATCAGTACTTTCCCTTACTGGAACTACAATTAACTGGAAAGGAATTGACAATAGAAGTGAGCTGCTTGTTGCCACCAGTCTTCTCTCTTACCTTACTTCCATCCCAGCCTTGAGACCGGCACAGGCTGCCTTCTCGCCTCATACTCCACTGTGTCCAGATCAATACCACCTCCATGCTGCAGATCCAGTGGCTGCTTTCTTATAGCATACCACAGCCCATTACTCCCTCCTTTTCCCTTTGGAATCTTAGATATCATCTCATCCTGTAGCACTCAGTACTCTTTCTTCCTACCCTTAGCTGGCAACTCATCTTCTCAATATTGGAGTACTGGGTGGGGGTGGGTAGGGGCAAGGACCACTCTTTGGCCTCCTCTTATCAATGCTCGCACCACCAATCCCATGACTTTGGGCCACGCGCATATACTGATGGCACCTGTGATCTGTCTCCAAGGCAGTCCTGCCCACTGAGAGTGCGTACGCTGACAGTGTTATTTTTAGTGAGACACGTGCATCCCTAAAATGTGCAGCACACCTCTCAAACGGAGCCCATTAGAATAGGAACTCCCCGTCTTCCTGCCCCCGCCATTTCTCCATATCCAAATTACTTTCTTGTTTTATAATCCCATTTCTAAAACCCCTACCCTCCTTTCCTACAAGAGACCTTAATTCTTTTCTTCATACCCCACATCCTGTCCATCAGTTAAACTCTACTAGGAATCCTTTAGAATATACCCTAATTCTGACACTCCTCACCACTCCCATGGGTACCATCTTAGCCCAAACTCAGGCTTCTCTTGTCTCTAGTCTCCTTCAGTGGCCCTTGACTCCCACTTCTACTCTTACACACAACACTATGGTCTGATTGCAGCAGCCCGAGTGATCTCTTCAAGAGATAAATGAAGCATGTCCCTCCCCTGTCAAAACTCCCCAATAGCTTACAAGGCTCTGGGTGATCAGGCTGCTGCTGCTGCTATCTTCATACTTCATTCTGCTCCTCTTTTGCTCACTGGGCTTAAGTGGAACCAGGGACTCAACAGCTAGCAAATGACCACACTCAGTGTTGTACATTTGGCCTCTTCTGCCTGGAGCACAATTTGTGGGGCTTCCCATGCTTGTTCCTTCATTTGCTTCAAGTCAAATGTCACTACCTCCCTAAATGAACCCCCCTTTCAAGTCAGCCTAACTTACCAGGCTTGTTTTCTAAGAGTATTCATCTCCTCCTAAAAGCTGGTGACATAGGATATATGTATATGTTTAGTGGTATTTTGTTCAAACTCACTAAAATATAAACTGTGTGAAATTATAGACCGGTCCTGTTCACAGTTGCATGTCCTGGGCACATAAGAGGCATTCCTAATGGGTTAAGTGAATAAATAAATAATGGACACCTACCTCAAAGGCTAGATGGAGGCCAGCAAGATGGCTTCAGTAGGTAAAGAGCAGTGACCTGAGTAGATCCCCAGCACCAACATAGTGGAAAGGGAGCTTTTGCAAGGTGTCCTCTGACCTCCACACACAAGCTGTGGCATGTGAATGCCTGTACACTTGCAATAAATAAATGTTAAAAAATGATGGTAGATAAAAGGTTGTGAAAGCAAAGCCCTAAGTAGTGTCTGCACACGATGGAATTTTAGTATGCATTAGCTACCACCATTATGTAACAAATACTCTGAGGATGAAGACTGCAGCTACCACACCCCTAAGACAGAGGGGGCCCACCATGGAACTGGGTGTGCTAGGACCCCAGTGCACACCTTATCAGATGTTTATGTTTAGACTCGGAGGGGAGCAAATAATTCTAGTTCCCTTGACAACATTTAGGGCTCTGCCACCATTTTATTATGTGAGCAAACATCTGATAGCTGGGAAGCCCATCCCTAATGACAGGTCATAGAATCTCACTGGCGTCTCCTTATCTACCCTTCTTGTTTGCTCTTCTATTGAAACCTGCGAGGTCACAAGCCATTTTCTCTCTCTTCCACCTGAAATCTGAAAATTGGAAGGGAAAGGGGAGGGGCTGATTGTGGGAAGTAAAGAGACTTAAGAGTGGGGGTGGGCAGAGGCAAGAAGGGAGGCAAAGGGTATCAGAGGATCCTGACCAAGTCCTCAAGAATGTAGGAGGACCAGAAACCAGCTCCTCACACAAATGCATAGCTCAGGCCCACTCTTAGGAGCCCTCAAGAGCAGCAAGAACAGAGGAAGGGGCCCGTGCTGGACACTGATAATACCCACCATGCTAACACCTTTGAGGCAACTTCACCTGTACTAATGCTACAAAGCCCACTGAAACTCCACTTCTGTAGAGGAAGAAACTGAAGTGTGAAGACTAATTTGACTGAAAACAAAGTCTAAATAGAAAGAATGCTCTTAGCCCCTGACACATGCTGGAGGTCACCCAAAACCAACCCAGTGCTCTGGTTCCCGTCTTCCTGGTTCGGAACCATTGGACCATCCCAGCTCACTCTGAACCTTGCTTTTTAAAATCTGTCATGATGTTGTGATAGCCTCATGGGGTCATAGTTGAGAGCACTGATTAGTAAGAAAATGATGGGATAACAGGCCTGTGTTTATCCTGGTTCATGAGTGTGATGTGTGTATGTTTGAAGGGAGCATCTTGAGAGAACAAGCCACTAACTAGGCCGAAAGGAAATCCTGCAGTGCTAAGGAAAGTGCAAGGCTGGGAAGAAAAGGAAGGGGAAAGTGACTGAGAAAGGGGAGTGGTGATTTCCTGAAGTCATCCCAGGGAATCCCCAGGCTCTGGAAGGGGAGACTACCTCACGCGGGTCCTGTGGCTCCTCCCAGAGAGTGGCTCCAGATCCTCTGAGGTCTCCTTCCCTGGGCCACCCAGATGGGTGGCATCCAACACCGTCAGCCCTTGGCTTCTTTTCCTAATGGTAACAACCCTTAAAAGTTTGTTATTATTATTATTATTATTATTATTATTAATTTACTTTTATTTCGTGTGCACTCGTTTTCCTGCATGTGTGTCTGTGTAAGGGTGTCAGATTCCCTGAAATGGGAGCTACAGACAGTTTCGAGCTAACATGTGGGTGTCAGGAGTTGAACCAGGGTCCTCTGGAAGAGCAGCCAGATCTTTTAATGGCTGAGCCATCTCTCAAGCCCCACCCTTCCCAAAGCCCTTTCTCTAGTGGAAACTTTGAGGAAATGGGCATTTCCTCACTTGCTTTTATGGCCTTGCTGCTTCTGGTAGATCAGCAGTGTCAGCAGAACCCAAGGAGTTCTTAGAAATGTATGCTCCAGCTCCCTGGGCAGGTAAGGTGGCTCAGCCGGTGAAGGAGCTTGCCGCCAAGCCCATCAACCTGACTTTCACCATGGAACTCATGTAGAGGCAGGGGAGAACTGACTCATGCAAGTTGTCCTCTGCCCTCCTCCACATGTGCACTGTGGATGCAAGCACATACAAATAAATACGTGTAAATAATTTTTAAACTACAAGTGCAAACTCCTAGGCCTAACCCAGGCCTAAGAACCAGAAATGGATCTATGTTTTAGCAGGATCCTTGTCCTGGTTGCTCCATCCAAGTTTGGGGAGTAGTGGTCTAGCGCCCCATGCTCTTAGAGGTCTTAGGAAGAGACTTCCACAAGAAGCCTAGAGCTCCCCACCCTGCTTTTGTGTGATCTCCCTGAGCACTGTATAAATGCCATTGTCACACCTTACCACTTCAGGAGTAAGGTCAGCAAATCAGGGCTATTTCAGGGTCTCTGGCAATGCACTTCTTTCCTCAGAAATGTCAGGGAAAGCTTTCCTACAGGGAATGTGCTTCAGCAACCACCATGCAGCTGAATGCCCACCTCATCCCAGTCCCCAACCCCCAGGTACTTTTCTGGCTGAGCTGGGTGTCCCCTCCCTTGGAGAAGCTAATAGCCTGTGTGCACACAGCTAAGCCTTTTCTCCTCTCTCTCTTCCTCTGCAGTGTCCACTGCAAGCCTGGTGATGCCTACATAACCACTCACTTTGTGTGCAGCAACAAGGACCCCATTTTCCACGCCATCAAGTCTCTCTGGGCAGCTGTCGTAGAAAAGCCCAGTGATGCGATGAGCACCCGGGAGCCCAGGAGAGGTCCCTGCTGACCTGACACCCTGCAGGCACCTTGAACAACCTGCTCTCTCGAGGTGCAGCTTGAAGCCTAGCTTCCCTTCTCTGCAGTATTGTCATGATGCCTCTCCCGAGACGCCAAGTGCCCTTGTTTCTCCCAGAGGTGGCTGGTGCCAAGTGGTGCAACAGGAAGCGAGAAAACCATGGAGTCTACGCGGCAATCCTTCATCGAACAAACTGATGCAAAAACTTGAATCTGTTACTGAAATGACCAGGAGGACCGGAGAGAATGTGTGCTATTGAACTGAGCCAGACACTGTAAATACTGACAAGACTCCCTCTCCCATCCCAGATGATTTAAAGATTTCTTCTAAAGAAGTAAATTTGTCCAATGGGTGTAAACTATAAACTATTGTAATTAAGTGCAATTTCCCTTCCAAGTATCTACCCCCACCCTGTATATATTACTAAAGTGTCTATCACTTTTCTTTGTAAAGGTCAGAGTTGAAATTCCAAAAGTAACGTGTTCCCTCCCCACTCCCCATGGAAAAACACCCACAGTGGGAAATGAATCTCTTTACCTCCCCTCCGGCCACAGGGATGGCATACTTTGGACAGGCTGCCAGCTAGCTCTGTTCTCCTGACATTAAGACACACCTCTGGATCTCTAGAGGGGTGGGACGTAGTGGCAGCGTGATGCCCTAGCTTCCCGCGGGCCTGGGGCTCAGCCAGTGGCTCCTCCACGAAATTCCAGGGCAGGGATACTGACTGGCTAACAGCCATCTCAGGAAGCCTCCCATTAAAGCAATTTATTTTGTCACTGTGCAGAGTCTCGTGTTTCTCATACCTCCTCCTCCTTTTATGGTTTCACCAAGAACCCCTGGCCTGGTCTCTGATATTTCCCAGTGGATCCATTGAAGACATAGTGTGTATCTGCTGGGTTGGCCTGCACTAGTGTCTTCTTCAAGTGTCAGCTTTTTCATGCTTCGATGTGGGAAACAGTCATTGAACCATCAGACATCACATGGACAAGGTCATAGAGCCAATTCTGGTCTTTAAAAAAAGGATAAGGGAGAAAAATGTAGTGGGGGAACTTCTAAAATCTCATCTTAAGTGTTGATTCCAGGCTTTTTCCTGCCTTCCTGACCTCCCGTAGGACCATCTGGGCCCAGGAAAACGGGCTCTTTCGATGACAACACTTCTTTGATCTTTCTGTGTTGAGGATACTAATAATAAACTCAATGCTGATTTGGGAGGAAGGACCCTGCCCTGGCCTCAATTCTGCCACCTCTTCTATAGCTAATCCTGCTGGCCTATACTTTTTCTGCTTTCCAACAAAGTATTTCCCAGAGCAAGTAGAGGCAAGAGAACTATAGTGACAGTCCCTGGGTGGCAGGGTTTTCATATACCCCACTATAGTGGAAGATAGCCATTCTCATACAGCTGGAAAATTTTGCTGAGGACCTACTGTGTGCTCAAAGCAGGGACAGGCTGATATAAAATACTGATCTCTAGTGGTTCCTGGGTTGACAGAACTATAATTTGGGGTTGAAGTAGTTAAGAGGAAGTTCATAACTATGTTGATATGAAGCCAGGACAAGGGCAAGCACTACACACATATAGCAAAGATTCCCTTCACTACTCGAGGTGGCCTAAAAGGACAAGTCCAGGGTTTGGAGAGATGGCTCTGTTGTTAAGAGCACTTGCTCAAGCAGAGGGCCCAGCTTTGGTTCTTAGCACCCACATCAAGCTGCTCACAACCACCTGTAACTACAGTGCCAGAGGATCCAGCACCCTCTTCTTGCACTCTCGCTCAATTCAGAGGGCACGCCATTCACACACAGACAAGCAGGTACATGCACATAAATAAAATCTTTAAAAAAAGTTTTTAGAGGGCATGTCCAGTTCCAGAGAACCTCAACCTTGGCTGGAGCCTTATAGCCAGATCACACTGTTTGGGGACCAGCAAGCATCTGCATTCAACAGTTTAGACCGCTTGGCATTGTTGCAATAACTGAGAACTAGAGGTCCTATCGATCCACAAGGTCATCTATATAAGGAGAGGGAGGAAGTGTAGTACAGTCTTAACTTTTTTGTTTTGTTTTTACGAGACAGGGTTTCTCTGTGTATTTGCTCTGTAGACCTTGAACTCACAGAGACCCACCTGTCTCTGCCTCTTGAGTGCTGGGACTAAAGTGTACCACCACCACCTGGTTGTCTTAACTTTTCTTAACGGAACCCTATTTGAATCAAGCTATGCAGAAAGGAGAACCAGGCAGCTGACAGTCCCCGGAACACTAGCAGGCCCTTGCTAACATCCTTCACCAGCTGAAAAAGGAGAAAGGTACCCACTATTGGGGTCGAGGTAGAAACTGCCCATTCTGAAGACTTGAAGAAGCATCATCCATTCCTCCCTTAATCGCCTGCATTCTCTAAGCTCCTCTTTTACCCACCAAGTACAAACTAACATGACTCTTTTTTTTCCCCAGGACCCACTCATGTTCTAGGGAGCATCCTGGGTTAGACCCTCTTCATTTTAACATCCGTGGGTAGCAAATGAAACCCTTAATGAAACCCTGCCTCAAAGTGTACTAAATTGTTCTGAGCCCAGTGGTGGTGGCGCCTCTTCTCCCAAGGTACAGATAGCTTGTCCTGTTTGCTGCGGAATTCAGGTGGATAAGAATACAATGCAGCTGAGTATCGGAGCCCTCCACTCACAGTTGGGGGCAGGTCCTTGATAGGCTTTTTGGAGTCCAGATACCTTGGTTAGAATCAGCAAACATGGTCATATGGAAAACTGAGATGGTAATAATCATACCTGATTTTTAAGGTCCTTTGAGGAGTGATAGGGTTAATGTCAATGGCTTGGATCTCTGAAACCTGCACAGACTGTACTGGTATGCATTCTTTCTTCGTAGAGTTTCCTGGGCTGGGTTGATGCTTCCAGATGTCTATCAAGATTTCCTTATCACCTGTATGCTGCTGAGTATTTGGACAAATGCTTTTGTTTCTGTGGCACAAGGCAAATTAAGTGGTAAACTGAGGCTTAGGAAGAGCAAATCCAAGGAGAGAGGGCTTGACTTGGGAGGCTTCATCTCCCGCAGGGAAAGAAGATAGAATGGGACACTTAGGAGGCTATGGAGAACCCCAGGAGGCTGGAACTTGTCCTTGTTCCTTAACAAGGGGTGGGGGCAGGGAACAGGGGTCTCAGGAAGACTGGGAGCCAGGAAAGGGCAAAGTCAGGAGGAGGCGGGAGCCAGCTGTGCTAGAGGTAAAGCTGTTTGATAGCTCCCTTTGAATAGGGAATTAAATGCATCAAAAGCCACTCTGGAAAACAAGCGATTGTCGGACAGCAGACTACGTGGCAGGGATGGTGACAGAGATACAGTTTCTCCCAACTCATCACAGGACCACCATTCATAACAAGTAACAATCAGCTAAACTAATGCCTCTGAGTCTCCTCCCTCCCCCCTTTCTGTCTCTCCCTCTCTCTCTTCTCTGTCTCCTCCGTGCAGGGGCCATTCCACTGTGCAAATACTGAATTGTCTGCTGAGACTTACAACATGACAGTTTTATAACTGAATCCTTGGCGTGTACAGGATTTCACACACACACACACACACACACACACACACACACACACACACACACGCACACACCTGGATGAACTCTTTTTCCTGGGTGTAGAGAGAAAAAACACTTTCTAAGGAACAACAAGCAGAAGAAACATAGAGGGGACTACGTCAAAAACAGTCACTCAAACTGGTCTCCTAAGGCTTGCATGTGTATATGTATGCCAACACACCACGGAATAAAGTCTTTTCTCACAATATATGTACTGTTAAATTCCTAAAGGAAGATTTCTTTCCTAAGTCCTATTGTCTTGACATCTGTAATAAAATAATACAAGTTATTCCAAATTCATTATGAAAAACATATACAAAGTTGGGGATTTTTTTTTGTTTGTTTTGTTTTGTTTTTCTGGTGATTGTTTGGGTTTTTGGGGTGTGTGTGTGTGTGTGTTTGTTTTTTTGTAGTTGTTTTTGTTTTTGGAGACTGGGTTTCTCTGTGTAGCCCTGACTGTCTTGGAACTTGCTCTGTAAACCAGGCTAGCCTCAGACTCAGAGATTTGCCGCCTCTGCCTCCTAAGTGCTGGGATCGAATGTGTGTACCACCACTGCCTAGCTGTATAATTCTGTGCAAGCTCTCTGCACAGAATTATAGTCTCAGCCTCTACAGTTTGGGGGGGGGTGCTTGTTATTGTTTGCTGTTGAGATGAAGTTTTGCTATATTGCCTAACATGACCCAAAATTAGTGATCTTATTGCCTCCACTTCCTGAGCAGCTGGGATTACAAACTGTACCATGTGCCCACATCTCTCAGTGAGTGAGTCCTGTAGAGGCAGAAAAAGTCTAACATCAGTGCTGCTGAGCATGTATCAGGTGCACTCCTCAGAGGTTCTCAAAGCAAGCTGCCCTTCCATACTCTTCCAGGACCTAGTGACTTGTTGGCATTCCTTGGCTTGTGATCACATAATGACAATTCCCCACTATATCTTTCCTTCCCCTGTGTTGACTCTCCCTCCTTACGTATTTCAAACATATATCTGAGCATGTTTGGCATTCATAGTATTATACGTGGTAAGGTTCCTTGACCACATTTGCAAAGATCCTTTTTCTTCTTAGCACTTAAAGGTACCAAGGTTTGAGAGTCACTGCTTTTGGGGGTCAACATTCAGCCTTATTCAAAGACTTTAATTCCAAACTCAGAAATAGAATCTAAGGTGCCCATTTCTTTTGTAGAACATTTTGGGATTTGCCTTTTTTGAGGTTATCAACATGGTTGATAACAAGAAAAATGCTTGTTTCTTAATCTTTATAAAATGTTTCAGAAGCTAAAAATACTTGAGAGTGGCTCAAATCAGTAAGTAAATGAAAAACTCAAGGGCGTTGCTCATGCTTGTATCGTGGAGATAGAACAACAGGCGACCACAGTAGTTAGGTTTAACCATTCATCTCATTTGTTCCTTTAGCAAACATTTACATAGAGCCCAGTCTTGTTCTGGGGTAGCTCAGTGGTTGGTGATGGCCTAATGTGCACTAGACCCTGGGTCTGATCTCTGATACGACCAAAGATACAAACATATAATCTCAGGCTAGGAAGTTACTCAATCTTGGCTTTACCACTTATTAGCCAAGGGATCATTGGACAGCAGTTGAAAATGGAGTTGGCTGCAGATTAAACGAGATACAAGTACACAAAACTCATTTCCAGGCTCACAGAAGAATGCCCTATAATATCTTGCGTCTCATTGTACTTGGAGAACCAAGGAAGGTATCGTGATAGCTAGGCCTGATTTGCCTCTCCCCACCACCACCCCCTCCCCCGCCTTCAGTGTCTTTCCCTGCTAGAATACAAGCCAAGCGCAGTGAAGCAGAGACATGGTGTGGTGTTCATTTTTGTCACCAGCATCTGGCACCTGGAACATAGTAGGCACTCAGCAATAATCTTTTGAATGTGTGCACGTAAGTAGGTTGTGGAGTTGGACTCAAACACACATATGTGGCCACCATTGTCACTCCTAATCTCTGGAGGCTTCTGAGAGTCAAAGCAAGGAGCCAGTCACTGGCTACCTCTGTAGATGGGGATTCGGAGACAGGAAAGAGAAAAATGGTGGCTCTGGGTGGTGCTTAAGGGATACTGTGGTACTGTGACAAGTAACAACTCTGACTTAAAAAAAAAAAAAGTGAAAGTCAAAACCATGGAGAGAACTAAAGAGAAAAATGGGCTTCTTTCAGCTCTATATCAGCGTCTAAGCCTGAG